GTAGATCCTGTATCCATACAGTGTCACTGAGTGTTTGTTCCTTACTATAGGCAAGAGAATTCAGAACCAAGCAATAAATACAACCCAAGCCAAAAGCATTGGTAAGATTAGCAGTTTTGTTCTTTCCCTTCCTTCCCCTCCTCCAGGGCTGTCACGAAGTATATTAAAAGAGTCAAGCTAATAGCAATCAGATTAGCCAGCAAAGACCATGAAGGGATTGTGATTTTTGGCCACAGCCAGGTATTGTAGACAGCCCTGCTTTCCTATTTAATATCAAAAGTCTAGCAATCTCGCTTACTCACGCAGGATTGTAAAGTGAGGCTCCAAGACTATTAGGAGGAGTGTGTGACTCCTCTAACAGTTTGTGTATTGTTTAGCTCCAGAAAATGTCCATACCTCCACCACAGAAGGGATTTTTCTAAGACACCTCCCCCCCAGCCCTCTGGAAATTCCACTTAAGCTTCAAACATTTTTTAATATTTTTGGTCTTAGAGAACCCACCCCAGCCCCTAGGAAATTCCAATCCCTTCTGTGAGGGGAGTATGAATATTTCCTGGAACTGCACATTGTGTATACCATACTGAGTTTACACCCACTTTCAGTGTTACGTGCATAGTAACTATCTCTCGACATGCCATCTCTCGACATGCTATGTAACCTGGCCTACATCAAAATGTAAGCACAAGTGGCTTCTTTATGGTTGAACTCAACTTTTAATCATGAAGGATGGATTTATTTGACATCAAACTAAGGCTAGGAGCATCAAGAAAAAATTCTGTGAGGGATAAATCGACTGCTTTGAATGTTTACATCTTTCGAATATTAACAGAGTGGTAGCAGCCAAATTCTACCAGAAGTCACTATTGAAAGCTGATCGACTACACTAAAGTCGTTTGAATTATCCCGTAAATTGGGAGTCCACAATCTTCTTCATTCATTTGAGGTCAGTAATTATCATATACTTGTCATTTGTTCCGCTAATAACCGGAAAAATTGCTAGTTTCACAGGTAAACGGTATTTCAGCCGTTTACACAGCATGTTGAAAGATGGAATGTTGAGAGATGGTCGAAAGATGTCACCTACGCATGTAACACTGAAAGCAGGTGTAACGCAAGACTCACGCAAAAGGGGTGATCTTCAACCCTGATAACTGTTACCATGGGTTGTAATCAGATACGTGATATGGATCTCTAGAGTTACATACAGCTGAATTGGATTTCTCTAACCACCAAGAAAAATATGCATTGGAATGGGAAAGTACACGAGTTTGCTGAGATATCAAGGGGAAAATTGCAGGGAAACATATCCCAGGGGGACAACTCTTGGTTTGAGAAATCAGGAGGTTACAGTAGATTACAATGAAACACTTCCAAGGATGATGATTTTTGGTTAGAGTTAGTGAGAGGTTTGAGAAATTGAGGGTTAGAGAAATCTGATTCCACAGTATTTATTTTGTAATCTGTCAGAGTGGAATATCAGACTTTTCTTGAGCAAGGGAAGAATTAAGTATGTAAAGTTCAACCTCGTTTTATATCAACCCAGGCACAATTACAGGTATATCAAGAAATATTTATAAATTATTAAAATTATATATACCAGTCAAACATTATGGAGAATGCGAGTTTTTTTAAAGTTTTATGTGGAAGTTCCTGAGCAGAACTGACCGCCGTCATGATCTTTGAGCAGATGCAAATAAATCTCCTGCCGACGGCAGAGGAGCAAGACCTCCTCCAAGATCAGGAAGTTTGGTCAGGTCTGGAAGGTTTTCTAAATGCGACTTGAGTTCTTGTCTCACTAACTGAACTTTTTCCTGTTTGGCTTTGTATTCCTGGGAAATTAAAAAGAAAGATTGAGTCATAATGTTAGCTATTAGAATCAATTTCAATTTAGAACTGCAAGAGTCAAGTTGGTCTAAACACACCAGTAAGACTGGGCTAAGGGTAACCCCTTATAATTAATTACTCACAGTCTGATTGCAAACTTTTTGAAAGTAAGTCAACCAAGTCCAAGTGACTCAACCACTATCGAAGCCAAGATTCCCTTACTTACTTCAAGTTTTTTCTCTGATTCTGCAAGTTTGTCCTTTTGAAGTTGTATAAATGCAGCCAGCATTTTGGATATTGTTGTTCTGTCTTCCAGTTCTGCTGCAAGTCTGCCATTGTAGTCAGCAAGTAATAAACAAGCCTCATCAACAATCTTGGAAAGGCGGTCTCCAGTTTCTTTATCTAAAGGGCAAATGAAAAGAGTGTTCTCTATCGCTGTAGAAACTACAAGATGAACTAAATGAAGACTACAAGATGAACTCTTTTAGCTAAAGATACACTGTTATAGAGCATGAGCTAATGAAATTCTTATCACTGATAATTGAAAGTCTCTTTCCCACAGGCCCACCCCACCCCACACACCCCCTGCAAAAATTAAAAAAAGCACTATTTAATAATTAAAGACAGGAATACATTGAACAAAAAGTCTATGTTGAAAGAAATTGTAAGTCATCACCAGACATTTATTTTTTAATAGAAAACTTTATTTTATTTTTTAATAGAAAACTGTGCTCTGCAAACTCTTATTGACATGACTTGTGAGTTTTTGCGATGAGTTGTTTTCAGTTTTTGAGTAAACATTTGTACCATGTGACTTCAAACATTATTAGCAATTTTTTCTGTTAAAGTATACGTTTAGAGACCAGACCTACATGTACACTGTATCAGTAATTGTTAATTGTATACCTTCTATTTTGTCCAGAAGTGAGACATCTTGTACTTCTGCTGGTAGATTAGCAATCTTTTCTCTAACAACAGCATCTTGTGAAGCAGAGTTTTCAAGTTCCATCAATGCCTTAATTAGATCCTCAGGCTGCAGGCAAAATAATCATGTAACATTGATACATTGATTATCATTTGATGCATTTTTTTTTCTTCCTTTTCACAAGCAAAGAGCCCACCACGTGTCCTGCAAATAACTGCCTACAAGTAATGGTCTGCTCATGTGTAGTACCGTCTAAATGCGTTTTGCTGCAAATAATATTCTGCTGAAGCTTAATTATTGTAACCATGTTGTTATGTGAAAAATGGCAGATCACTTCCCTGAGCTGTCAGAGGGTGATTTAAATATGAAAACAAACTTGGTATTCAGATGATTAAACAATATTAATAATAACATTGAACTCAGTTATCACAAAATATTCTGATTTGTCAGTGGTGAACAGATCAATCATTTGCCTCAGCCTCCTAATATGTTGGTATGCAAGGAAACTTTAGAGGTATAGGAAACCCTCTTAAAAAATTCACTTACATCTGGTGGCTCAATCAGTGGAGCTTGTTTTTCATCTTGAAGCTTTTGTTTCTTCTCTGGTGGCGGCGAGTCTGATTCTTGACCTATTAATTAAATAATAATCATGATAAATAAATATTGCAAAATTAAATGCTTTTAAACCCCCTTGTTTAAGAATCAACACTCGCTGAGGTAACATAATGTCCACTGACCATGCACAGCTCGCATTACTAATTAAAAGAGCTTTCTAAGTAAACTCACTTGTACTCACCTAAACACTTGTGAAGTCTCTCTAGGAAAGTTGCGTCATACACATTTCTCTCTGTCCATATGGAGATTAGTCTTTCAAGACCTTTGATGGCTTCTACTGTTCCACCCCTTGATCAAAGAGTTATTTGTAATAAATTAGTAACTGCTATTCATGTTATCTAGACAAGCAATACAGCTGAAATGTTTGTATTAATTACTAACTACTCCATTTTCAAGGTATATGTTCTCAGTGCCAGTTTAGCCAACTTAACCAGGCAGAGAAGAATTCTACAACCTTTAATAGCTGGGTGGGTGGTACAGTGGCCTCACGGTTAGTGTGCTTATCTCCAGATCGAGCTGCCCAGGTTTGAGCCTTCGTTGGAGACAGTGTGTTGTGCTCTTGAGCAAGACACTTCACTCTCACAGTGCCTCTCTCCACACAGGTGTATAAATGGATACCCGCAATTCAATGCCGGGGGTAACCCTGCAATGGACTAGTATCACATCCAGGGGGGTAGAAATACTCATAGTCACTTCACAGAAACCAGGATAAACTCCAGCCTGGTGGGTCACTTGGCTCGTATGCAGACTTTTCCTCCCTATGTAATAGCTGGACATTACATTTACTTACTGTGCACAATGCTGAAAAGCAGCAGGCAACACATGTTTAAATTCACCCAAAAATTCTGTCCCCTTTCTTTTTCCATTTTGAAGGACATCGTTAGCAAGAAATAGGAATGTGAGCTTTTTGCTTGACCTTGCTGTAAATGATAACAAACAGAACACTGTAATAGACTGTATGTGAAAAATAATTTGTATAAAAGTGCATCATCACTTTAATATTTGACATTCTTTCTGGAGCATTTAACTTTTTAAGAATTTGAGATTCAGGTACAGTGATCCCTAACCCTAACCTCCTGAACACCCAGCAGGTACTGCCTCCTCCACAGGCTTTAGAAATTGGTGTGTAACCACGGCAGATATAAGCTTAGTAGGTAAAAAGTCATTAAAAAAAAAAGAGCTGTATAGCTGTAGTCTTCAGACCAAATGCCTGTCCATATTTTCTTTGGTCAGATACCTGGTTACTTAAAAGGAAGCTCTCACTGCATTTTCAGGGGGTTCTAAGACCCAGTGAGGACATGACTATGTTTCGAATAGACCCCTTCCCTGGGGCGTACTCCCTTATATGAGCTATATAGGTATGTGTGGCCCCAAAGGGTATGGTTTTTCAGCCATTTTGGTTATAAATAGGGCTTCAATTTTGACCATTTTGGTCATAAAATAGGGTATGGTTTTTTCCCTCTAGTCTTCAATTGCGTATGTCTTTAGAAGAAGCTACTTTTTTCCTCATTATGGATAAGATCATCAACAAAAGCCCCTCATAAATCATGCTTAGGGCAGCTGTGCCAGCCACAATGGTCATAAATAGGGCATCATATTTTTGGTCAGGTCATAAATAGGGTAGGGAAAATCACAGATTTTGGTCATAAATAGGGTACAGATTTAGGGAAGTGGGCTGCACATTCCCAACAAATTCTTCTGAGAGTACTCCCCCTCCCCCCCCCGGGGGGGGAATAGACAGGCATGGCATTTTCCTACAAGTACTATCATAAACCTGCATCCAAAATTAGGCTAGCTTGGTTTAAGCCTATTTAAGCAGCTTAAATAAGTATTTAATTATCTATGTGATAAGTGGAATCTATTCGAAACATGTCAGAGCGATAGTTATCTGTCACTTCAAAAAGCCTATTTTGTTGCAGTCTAGAGCGATGGATTGTTCCCTCACGAGGTTTAAACTAACGGCCATTGCTTACCTTTGGCGAGCTCTTTATACCAAGCTTGTACTATCGCTTTAGCGTGTTTTCTGTGGTGAATGAGCCACAACGAAAGCGTCTGAACACTATGCTGCGTGTTGGATAGATCAGCTAACTTTTTTTCCAGCGTTGCAGTAGAAAACGACGTCATTTTCACACATCTACTTCTCCGAGATCGAAACAATTTATCATTACCAAAACAGTGGTGAAATTAAATTGTGAGCGAAAGATCTGGGCACAAGATAGCCTCGATTTAGGGAAGAAACCGCTGAGAACGACCAGAAAACGCAGTCTTTTATCCTTAGTACGCATACTTTTAGTTTACTACCGCTAATCCACGAACTCGCAGACTCAATCAGATTGCCAACATGGCGGACAGCGCGGTTTACCGGGCTTTGAGGCTGTATGTCCTATTTAGCAATGAAGCCTGTTTCCGGTGCTTTACCCTTTTGTTCATACATTCAGTATTCATCTAAGCTCAATTTTCTTTAATATTTCTGTTTTCTTTAGCCACATCGCGCCAGACAAGTTTTATATCGAGCCTCGGGACCAGCATTCGGTGGGCGACCAGATTCTCGAAATAGATCGGGTTACTCAAGAATTGAGTTTAGCAGGTACGTTTACGTCAATGTTTTCAAAACTTTCACGTCCCGTTAACTCTTAGCGTAGTAATGCAATATTCTCTTCGTTTGTGACTGCAGATCTGTTATCAGTGAAGATTGATTCTGCCTTAGAGGATTATTTATTTTAGCTACGGTTAAGCTTGTGTCATCATTGTAGATTTAAGCTTAATTACGAGGAGATTTGGTTTTGTTTTCTTTTTATATCAACCTAAATGAAGACTGTTATTAATTTTATTACGGTGAAGATATCGCCACAAGAAGTCAAAAACGGGCTTCAAAGCTATTAAACGTAACGGTAAATTGTTAAAACATAGGTTTTTGTACAACCATGGCTAGTGATACAACAAGTTTAAGGACCTCATTTCAATATCGGTTGTCACTCGCTAAGTTAAACAGACTAAACAGATTCTACCAAATTTGGCTGAAAGATGCTTTACTTTACAAGTACAATGCATCAAAACGAAATATGTGTCGCAACTTTAAAAACTGCGATATCTTTTGACCTTTTTTATGGGCCTCTTTAAACCAACATGAACATCAAGTAATGTGTACAGGCCAAAGGACTTTTGATTTTGTTATGTTGGACCAATGGTTAAAAAGAACATGATATTGAAAATCAGCTGATTCATGAAAGCTGTTGCTTCATTTTACTGAGACAAGCTTCATCACTCCTGGTAGTTACCTCTGACACACTAACAAACATGGCCGTGGGGAATAAGTCAGTCATTAATGATCAGGCCTCTAGCCAGGATCTGAAACTGGGCAGTCAAAATTTTGGTATGTGGTTAGCTCAAGCAAACAGTTTCTAAAGCAATATATCCAAAAAAAGTCTCTAGGAAGTGGGATCCACAAAATGCTTGGACACCCGTCTGGTTAAATGCTAGTTAATGATAAGACAAGGCAGCCATTAATCTGTGATTTTGTCACCTTGATCTCTTAGACAATGAAGGTCAGATTCCACCATCAGCTGAGAGTAGGGATATATTTGGAATACTTGGAATCATTAATTTGTTAGCAGGTGAATTTGAGAGTCAATTNCCAGTTATGCATGGATGTATCCTTTTGAAGATTAATTAGTCTTAAAAAAAAACTTATTAATTTTTTTTTATTATTATTATTACAATATCACTCAAAACTAAGTTGACAGTCCCTTGAAGCTCTAACAACTCAACTCAACTCAATTCTCAATCTTCAAAAGTCAAAAACTTTGAGTATCTAGTCAAATCATTCAAGTTTCAAGTCAAGTCATTCAAGTTTTGAGTCAAGGTGTCCCAGTTTCAAGTCAGGAAAACAAAGAAACAAAGTATCTACTGTACGCATTGCAAGAAATAAGTCGTTTTTGTCAAAAAACTCTTCAAGTGTTTCAAGAAACTTGAGCCTTGAAACTCGATTCTCAGTTCTGAAAGTATTGAGAATTGAGGATCAAGTTTCAGGTTGAAACCGTCATCTATCTTTGGCTGGTATTTTATGTTATTAGCTTCTGCATGGATCTCAGTCTTACATCTGCCACAAAATTTGACAGTTGGTTATTTAAAAATAACTTTTCAAGTGAAGTTTAATTTATCATTAATTTTGTGTGCAATACTGAAAGTTGTATTTTATCCTTGACACTACAAAGTTGTCTCTATAACGTCCTGTATTATTAAACAGAGCACATTTGATTTTATTCTCATATCAAGGAGAAGTTGTTTCAGAGCAGGTATGTCGATTTATAATATTTAAATTGTTCTGAGTAAAAATTGCAAATTCATATCTCAATGGTACATATTAATTACAGATTTTTAAGTTGGATTCTGTCAGTGCAAGTTTGTCATCGTCATCATCATTATCATCATCAGCTTATTTTTGGCAGAGTGAAACAAAAGCCAGAAATCTGTCTGTGTTTTCAGGTTAAGCAAAGGCCAACTGAGCTTATTAAGCCAGCTTTGTTATTTTTCTTGTTTGCATCACTGGAGAGCTAGCACCTTTTGTGAAAACTCAGAGGATCATTAAATATCAAAATCTTAATGATTGAATTAAACCAGATTGTTAATATTTTTATGTAGGTACTCGTTATTTTATAAGAGGACTGGATGCTGAAGGAAATGCTGCTAATTATGTTGAAACTGAACAAATTGCTCAGTTTGAATCTGGAGCTTGTTCCTTTGTACAGGTATGTAAAGTGAGGTTCTGCAAAGGCCACATCAAAATCAGATGACTGCATGTACATGTATCTGATGTTATCTTATTCAGGGTGCTTATGTAGGCCGTAATTATACATGCAACTCATGAAAGCGATGAATTAACCTCAGGGACAGTACTTAGGAAGTAGTAAATATTAATGGGAATTATGCAACATAGATGACTGTTCTGTTGTACTTCTGACTCTTCCTAGCTAAATTTGATATGATTAAGTGAAGAGATAGGCGATAAAATAGAGGTTTAATATGGTAGTTAGCAAAGACAAAAGAGTTAAACATTCACATATTTGGCTAACAACCAAACTCTGCTCTCATTGAAATATAGTTGAACCTCTGTACAGCTTCTGGGAGAGAAATTACTCATCAGTGTAGAGAGGTAGCCATTGTGGAAAGTTTCAACAAAAGTAAATAAAAATTTATTGAATGTGTGCACACATCAGCAAGCAAGAATGGTCTTGTATATATTAGGTGTCACTGTAATATAATAACAATTAAGAAAAAAAGGATGCGAATAGTGTAAGAATAGTGTTGTAATTGACAGTGGTGCAAGTAACCAGTATTGTAAGTACCGTTAGTAAGTCATGTAATTAGTCGGAAGTGACATCGTGTATTGTTATTAGTGTAAGTATGTAGTATTGTAAGTAATTTATTTTATTGTACTGTTAAAAAGAAATAAAATGTCAAAAAAAAAGAATGGTCTTAGCAGAAAATCTGGGCTTAATAGGGTGTGCCGACAGGTTGAGGTTTGACTGTAAACTATTTAGGATTGAATTCTGTTATTCAGCCTTATGTTTTCTTCTTTGTAGACAAGAGGTTCCATTCCATTGTTTTGGTCTCAGAGACCAAATCTGAAATACAAACCAACACCTCTGCTAAACCCCTCAGCAGATCATGTGAGTAATCCATGCTTCAAGGCTCATCTCTTGATTTTACTGTTAGTACTTTTTGGGTAATTTTAAAGGAGCTATGTCACAATACTTTTAGTCTGATACCTTTCAAACTGAAGGAAATCGGAAGGTAGTAGTTTCTAAGATGGGATAACAGCAAATGCAGTGGTAGTAAATATGAAATAAAAAAGGACTTAGGAAGACTGAGAGATTACGAGCGACAAACTTAAAAAATAGGCCAATCTTTTCAAGATGGCTTCCCATGATATAGATGCTTCAATATGAAGTGCCATGGCATGCATGAATCAGAAAAGGACACAATTTTCCTTTGTTTCTGATTATCATAATGCATGTGACAAAGAAAACTAAAAATCAGTATGGTTTAAATTTTCAAAGCAACAAAAATTTGACTACACATACATGTAGACCAAAATGGAACCAATTACCAAATGAATGAAACTAGAATCTCAAAGGTTACTGCTTAATTCCACTAGTTCTGTTCTTGCTGTTGCTTTATTTGCCCAGCATTTATTGTTTGCAGAGACACATTTAAAACCTACCAGTTCTAACAAATAATCAATAAGTTAGCATTGATTGCAAACAGCTCAGTAAACAGTGTCCCCACTCCAGCAAGGTACATAGAACTGCAATTCCATTGTAATTTAATTATTGTAATTTAACTTGACATCTCTTTAATTTTTCTTATCTTGGCAGAAAGTAGGATTTTGTCTCCATCTTGATAAAGAAAGAGTGTATTATGGAGAACATGTTTTAATAAACCTTGTAAGTTCTACATGTATTATAAGACAAAAATTTGTTATTTTATGTCTAGTTTCTTTTCAAGTTACCTCATGATTTATCAGACCAATGCTTAAAGCACTATCCATTAAACCCAAAATTCCAAAATTTGTAAAATGGAGGCAAATGGTACAGAATTTTTTTTGGAAGATCTCTGGAAGTGCAATATTGTTAAATTTCCAAAATGCAAACCATTCAACTGACAATTTGTAAATTTTAGGGGGCATATCAAATGAAACAAAAGTTTCTGGTTCAAAAATTTCAAACATTTGAGTATACATGTACTGCCCAAGGTTGCCCACTTTCAAAAAAATTCCCAAAAATGCTCTTCCATTATCCACTAGAAATTTCCCTAAAAGCAAACCAGAATTTTTGGTTGAATGAAAAGAGTCCTTAATTCCAGTGTCCATAGCAGAAAATATTAAATATTATATTCCTGTCATGGCAGTAACTATGCAAAGAAAGTTGGGTCCATTAGGCAACAGGCAAGGGCTAGTGGATTCTATCCTTCCCTTGACCGATGGGCTTGAAAAGTTTCTTAGGAAAACTGTTTTAGGAAGTTCAAATTACAGTTGAAGTACTATAAGGGATAACATTTTGGGGCTAGTAAGTTTGACATTCAAGCTAGTACATCATACATTGTAGTTACAGCTTCCCAGAAGGGCAATCCTGAAAATTGATTTTCTTTGCATCCTGCAACTGATCCATTTCTAAAGAGCCAAAACAAATGGATTAAACTTGAGGCCATCATCCTCAGCCTATTTGATGAAATAAGATTTTTCCAAAAACAATTCAATTTACAAGTAATTGTTCATACACTGCTGAAAGTTTCAACTGAAGGTGGAATTATTTTGAATTCTTTGTTTTAAAAGATTGACCAGAAAGGCCCAGAGAAGATTTTGGGAGATCGGTATACAGAGACTGTTAGCAATGCTGGCTTAACTGATAACTTCCTGAGGTGAATAAAGATTTAGAAAACAAGATTAATTGCTATATTCTTATTAGAACGTCTTGGTCAGGACCTTAAAAGGTATTCAGGTCTGTAAACCGTTATCAATTTCGATCCTAAGGCATGTTACTTGTACGTGTTAGGTACATGTAGAGTTACACGTCGATCAAACTGGTCCACACTGCCAAATGTGCGAGTTTATCCCAGTTTCCATAGCAACAAGGACTAGGCATATTGCTAATGTATGTAGCTCTTGGATGGGATACTTGGGCATTGCAGGCTACTCCCCCCCTTCCTGTTATTTTGCCCGGCTGGTACCCAGTGCTTCTCCAGGCACTGTACTGACAGTCAGTGTAACATGCAGACTGCAGACGTACCATATAGACCATATACTGACTAAAAACTGTCCTTAAACCGAAAAATTAGCTCAAACTGTAATACCAACCCTATAACAAACCCTGTTTGCTAACGCTAGTTGCAAAGCTTAAACTTGATTTCGGTCTGCAATGTAAAATGCAGACTGCAGACTGAAATTAACTTTAGTTTTTAACTGGTTTTTAGAGTTAGGGTCAGTTTTAGCTGATTTACTGAGATATGGTTAGTTTTCAGTTAGTATTTGTTGAAGGTTAGGGTTAGTCTACAGTCTGTAGTCCACAGTCTTCATTTTACACTGATTGTTTTGAACTTAGTCAGAATAAATTATTTAACCCAAGAATGGAGCACCAGGATAATGCATTTGCTGACTTTGTTTCATTCTTAAATGTTTCAAAATTTTAGGTACGAGCCATTTGACTTCCACAAGGAGTGCAGTAAAATGCGATGGGAGAGATTGTCCATTTTAACTGATAGATTAAAAGCAGACCAAGATAAGTTTGGGTAAGTACATGTACTAACACATATTGAACTTGAAAATATCTTCAGTGTACTCAAAGTAGTGCCTTGACACAGTGTAGAAGCTGTAATTAAAAAAATACGTTCACATATGTGTGAACTGGTTTGCCGTGTCAAGCCATGATCTCGATTGTTCAAATTCTTAATTGTCTGTGGCTGTGTACTGTACATGTACATAATGTAAAAGCTACAGCAACGTTTTATAACAGTTGGTTTACATGTACATGTAAATATCTAGCTTTTATTTAGCCAAGCATAACAAGCCTTGGTTGCCATCGTAGCCTGGGAAAATTAGTTTACTGTAATTCTAAAAAGCAGCCCTTTACTTTTCCTTACCTTTCAAAGAAATATGAGAGATGCTGTGTTTATGTCCAGTTAAATTAATATAATATATATTTGCCCCCTACATTTGTACAGAGACCTACAAATGTAGCTAGTTTGTGTACTATAATAACAATGAATAGTACCAACTGAAGACCATCATCTTCTTTTTAATCATATACTAGGTATTTCAGTATGAGAGAAAAAGATGGTCAGATCGACTGTGAACAAAGAGGAGTTTTCAGAACAAATTGTATTGACTCTCTTGACAGGTAATTAAAATTGTAAATCACTTTGTAAGAGATCTTGAAATCATGTGCTTTTCTGATCGCTACAAATAATGGTAGAATTTTATCTAGACTATTTACAAATTTCTATGGTTAGAACTAATCAGCATTTGGTGTTTCATTAGAACAAATGTTGTACAAAGTTTACTAGCAAGAAGAAGTCTTCAAGCACAATGTGAGGTATACATCTAGATTCTAAAAGCTAGTAGTTCATATACATTGTATAATATAATTATTAAATACGTAATTAGTTATTTGTAACTATTTTCAAATGGTACTGTTGCTGTGTAGTGCTTGTGTCTTAAGAAAGCTCACTAAAATAAACTAAGTACTTATTGGCTCATGGCCCATTTAAATTGTAAAACAAGGAATCTGTCAATGCAAGAAGTTTGTTAAGTCCGAGGAAATTTGCATTTTGTTCCGTTGTTCAATACACCTTGATCACTTTATTACAGAAATATGAAATCCTCAGCCCAGGAGAGAGAATAGAGGGTTATGCCGGCATGGAGAAGGTGTTAAAGAATGGTATGTTGGGCATACATTTGTCTATCTAGACACCTCTGTTTTACAACATTTTTATACTGCAAGGGGGATTTAGTAGGCAGAATGTTTCATGCAATGACTAGGTAGCACATGACAGAGATCTTTCTAGTTTCAGAAAAACTACTTTTTAGTTTTGTTGATTTATTTTTGTTCCTGCACATGGTAAGGTGCAGTTTGTGTGTCAGCCTTGTGGCTCATCTGGCTAAGGCCTATTAGTTTCCTCAGCATGAGGAGACTCAGAAAGCAGGGACGGTACAGTAGTGAGAGGTTTGATCTGATCTTGGCAGGGGTGGATTAAGGCGGGGCTGAGGGAGTCATGGCTCCCTTTTTTTCTTGTATTTTCAAAATAAAGTCTTGACCAACTGTCTTTAGAGCGGAATTTTTCATTCAGCTTGGAAGGGGGGGGGGGGGTTTGCTGGTGCTCTGCCACAATTTCTTTGGTCCCTGCTATCTGATTTTTCTGGATCCACCCCTGCATTCTGGTGACATGTGGGTTGAGTTTGTTGTTAATTTTCACCTTCCCCTGAGGGTTTTTCTCTGTGCACTAACATTTTCCTTTCTCCCAAAAAACCAACTTTTCTAAATTCCAATTTGACCAGGATAGGTGACCCACATGAAAACCAGCTAAGGCTCGAAATATTGTAATTTATTTACATGTACTTTATTTTTTCTTTATTTCTCTTCCCCTCTCCCCTAAAGGGGATGCTACTCCAATGCAGTGTTACATGTACATGTACCCCCAGCAAGTTCTTTGCATGTATGAACTTGAGCAACCACCTGAAATAGCTTTGTGATCAGGCTGAGATCTCTATTGTTGACAGTCTACTAAGAAGAAATATTGCTGTTTCAGTGTACTTGAAACAAGTTATAAGCGTGTTGTGTCTTTTGACTGTACTTTGTTATTGTTATATCTCTCTTAGTCTGGGCAGACAATGCTGATGCATGTTCTGTACAGTATGCTGGCACAGGAGCGCTCAAAACAGATTTCACAAGGTCAGTCCTGTGTGAAAGTGATAATAATAATAATAATAATAATAATAATAATAGTAATAATAAAAATAATAATGATAATGATAATGATAATGATAATAATGATAATGATAATAACAATAATAATGACTGTAGTTACCTGTCAATGAGATTTAGCATTGCTGCTAATTGGGGACACCTAAAAAGAGTTACTAACAATTATCAGGACTCATTATTGTCTGATGTTAATCTTTGACTGAGTTATTGGTTGTCCAGTAACTGTTAATTATACAGTGTAGGGACTCTGTTTGGTAAATATATTTGAATGTACTTCTTTTTTGTTACAGGACAGGAAAACGGTCCACATTTGGACTTTTAAAGGATGGTGTTAACTCTTGTATTCGGTATTACAGGAACAACTTTGCTGATGGATTTAGACAAGTGAGCGACCAGAAAAGATAAAAATAATTATTATTCTCTTTAATTTACAGTTCAGTGGTCATACATGTGCATGCAGTTTCAGTTCTCCAGCTGGGAAAGCAATTAGTGCCTGGATCATCAGTGATTATCTTGTGTTATTATCATCTTTAATATGACATGTACACTGTATTTTGCTGGATGTTTCATAATGACAGGCAAATTCTTTTTTCATGATCATTATTCTATGAATAGGCCATGAATTTCAGAGCTGCCTTTTGCCTAGGTTTCGAAACAAGTCCTCATGTGAAACTATTCATACTAAAATGATTTTGATCTGCATGAAAATGAGCACGTAGGTGAAACATAGTTTCGTAAGAATGGTATTGCATGAAGACTCATTTTGACATGGATGCAACAGGCAACTCAGAAATAGCCCATTATTGTCAATGACTTTGGAAACTGATCTTGCTATGCACATATAGGACTCAATTGATTTGTTCCTGGGAAAGTATGTTGTGGATCCTAATGAAGGAATCTCTAAACCATCACCACTGGAAACTCACCGAGATTGGAGGTTTATGGCTGTAAGTTTAATTATGCATGTCAGTGATTTATTCATTTCTCCTTAATACATAGTGTATATGTACATGTTATATTTTATTATGTAGTACTACATACATGTAAACCCAGCCTTCACGTACATCTATACCTCTCCATGCCAATAAGGCACATAAGGCTTTTTGGTTTCTGTAATAGGCTTATTTTTATGGGAGTGGGTTATCAGCCCCCAGCCCAACCTCCAACCAAGAGGACCAGGGGATCTGCTCTCTACCCCTCGACCTGTTCAGCATGGGTCACCCTACCAGGAGTACAAGACTCCAGCCGACAGCTTTAGGGGTCACTGAGACACACAAACCATCCCACCACTATAAGGTGGTGGCCCATTAGGATATCAATCCATGACTGGTTAATTCAATCAACACTAATAAATTGTTTGTGCTTGCTCATTTTTAGCTTCCAATGATTCTGTTGCTAGGATTCTCCATGTTTGTAATAAGTGTTTTAATTCCTTCAAGTAAGTATTTGTTACTCTGTGTGATTTACTTTGCAATACAAAGTTACTCCACAATACTTAACCAGCTTGAAATGATCTTTCCCAGAAAAAAAGAATTGTTAACTTTCAGTAGGAGC